TACACGTTTCACTGCTGTTCGTATTTTTAAGCCATACCCCAAGAAAAAGAAAATGGAATAATTTCAAAGCTTCTTTGACGCCAGCACAATACTTCAACACAATTCTTTACATCGTCACACTTCCACTGACACTTCCTACGTACACGTACTACCTCCTATCACGCGTGTTTTACTCTAACACACTGTTCACATTCATAAAGATATGGCTGTATGCTTTCAAGCTTTCAATTTTAGCATCATAGACAGGCAAGGCAAAAAAGGCTAAGATCACAATAATGTATCAGTACTACCTCCTATCACGCAATCAACTCCTTTAAAATAGAGATACTGTCCAGAAGATGTGTCAGCCTGTGAAAATTACTTCAAAGCAGCAAGGGCTGCATTAGGACAGTAATGGCACATTAGTGCCTAAAATCATGATTATCATCATCATCTATTACTCATGAAGAAGTGGCTCACGAGAAAAACGTTGAAGAAGAGACATGAAATGAGAAAAGAGCACTGCGGAGTTGAAGACCCTCCAACCTTACAGAAGAAAAATTAATCTTTAATTATCCATGCTAGTATAACGGAATGGTTAAATAAGGAGGCTTTAGGCCAAAGTTCCATTTTTATGCTCTTTGTTCTCCTCGATTAATTCTATTTACGGAATCAAAAGCAGATAATTTAGCAAGCTCTGTAACAGCAGTATTTTAATAAGAAAGTAACTGAATATTCATAGATTCGTTACTGGTTTCTGTCTGCTCCCAGAATTCTATGAGACATTTTTCAGTAAATCCTTTCCGTAACAACATTAAAGTAATGCAATAACCCATACAACATGAACGAGTGCAATGGGAGGGCACCTCCTCCTCCTCCCCAGACCTGAAGCCACAGCACACCCTTCCTATTGACAAGGTTCTGCCCCTGCCTGGTACCTGGAAAAAATTAACCCACCTGCACTCTGCTTACCCATCGCCACCAGCGGATCGGGGAGCCACCGTCACAGCAGACGACGGCTCTCTTGCTGAGGCACAAAAGGAGAAGAAAAAAAAAAAAGACACCTGTCTACAGCTGCACTTGCACCGCAGAATTAAGCGTGAACAAAATCAGTAAGGCATATGAGCCGAATACGTACAGGAATAAGAGAGCACTTCTCCAGGAAACTGTTTACGTTAACTCTCCTTGTAAACATCCACAGCACGAAACACAGTGAGCCAGTGTCCAACAGAATAAACCATTAAGGTCGCAGAACTCGCGTTCACAGGGGACAGCTCTGACTTCAGACTTGGTGGCAATTCCTTCCCCTCCCGTTACCCGTGCAATCCGCAGGCTTTATAGCTCGAGGCGTTATGGCACAAGCCACCGGTTTCTCTAGGACAACCCTCATCCACTCAGGGATTCATCTCCCCCGTTATTCAGTGTTTAAGAGCCTCAATATTTATTTTAAAGCATTACGACTTCAAGCAGCGAGCGGCCACGCAGACGAGGAGTCTACAAGTGCTCCCACATCGATTCGATCGCCGTGGATGATCCAGCATGGCAACGCGGACGGGACGAGAAGACGGCCAGCCCGCCCGGTGGCAAGCCGTGCCGCAGGAGCTTTGAACCACCGCGACCGCGTCCCTTC